ATAGATGCTTTTCCACCACATTGTCAGTGCCTTATAACACATATCCTACTTGCTGACCAATTAGTAAATACCGCTGGAAAACACATGAACCTCTTCTCAGTGAAGAAGTTACCACATGAACACCCATGGCACATATGAGCATATGTTAGCATCTTGTAAAGGACGCTTGCAACAAGCTCTGAAAAAAATTGTTACTCTGGTTCACTTGGTACTCTTATTAATTGGGTAATAAACGTTAACTTAGTTGTACAGACAATACCCTCTAATACACACATCAATCTGCTTAGAGCTAGAAAGGAACTGCTATATTCTATCTTGTTATGTAAGTTACTATCTATTATAAGCTACTTTAGTAACATACTTGTGAGCTTTATTGATATCTACATATCTGCTCTTGTTTATGTATAATCCTTTAAAACTCAATAAAGAACTACTGAAATATAAAAGTGTGCTAAAAGAGAGGTTGATAGGAAAGGAAAAGGCTAGAACATCCTGACACCATATTTCATGTTTTCAATAACAGAAGTGCTCCAGTTTTCCGCAGGGTTTTCCCTGTTATAACGTTTGTACTGTAGATATCCCTAATGACTCCTGGATAAAACCTGGAACACATGGTAACAAGCATCCATACATACCCCACAAAAGTGTAAACAAACACATTGCTCGAATGCAAGATTGGATAGCAGCAGTTATTCCTATAGTTCAGAAACATTTGCAATAAGCCCAAGAGGAATAGGCCAGAGTTTACAGCCAGTCTACTAAAAACAGGACCTTTAAACGCCCTGCAACCACGTCACAACCACACCGTAAACGCCGGCCGGGCGTTTGCAGAGTGGCACCATAGACTAGAATAGGAGGCTTCAACGCCTCCTGACGCGACCAGAGGTGTCCGTTTTGCCACAACGCTAACGCTCCCGTTAGAACAGCACCATGTGCTGCAATGTGCAGAATTGTCCGAGGCGTTTCAGAAGCAGTAAAAACGCTTCCACAAATGCCTCTCTGCCGCCTTCACACAACGCTAGTGTGAACGTAGCCTTAAAATGGTTCTAAAGGCTCAAGGTTTTTTACCTTCATGTATTCTGTGCAGGAAGGTAAAAAACCTTCTGTGTGCAGCGGCCCCCACAGCCCCCCCAATCCTTACCTGAGCCCCATCCAATCCAGCGACATTCTCTGCAGCCTCTTAGGCTGAGACAGCAACGGGAGCTCATTAGCTCCCACTGCTGTCAATCACAGCCAATGAGGAGAGAGCCGGGCGGCGGGGGCTGAGACGTGGCTCTGTATCTTATGGATGCATAGAGCAGAGGCTCAGGGATGAGCATGCAGCGGTACCCCCCAGGGCAGGCAGCTTTCCCTGGAGGCACTGCTTGAGGGGGAGGTGACAGGAGTGCCAGCGGGAACCTCAAAAGAAGAGGATTGGGGCAGCTCTGTGCAAAATCACTGCACAGAGAAGGTAAGTATGACATGTTTGTTATTTTGGAAAAGAAAAACAAAGCTCTAAGAAAAGCTACTTCAGAAAAAATACAAACATGTTAGCTCTTGGGGTCATAAAAATTGCAACAGAAAGTGTTCCAGTCCAATAGTTCTCATCCCTGAGCTGAATAGTAGCCTAAGGTTCTGCCTATGACTTCAGAAAGCTAAATGAAATATCCATATTTTATGCTAGTCCTATGCCCAGGGTTGATGAGTTGATAAAAAAACGTTAGGTCTCCCCAGGTACATTACCACCCTTGAGCTCACTAAAGGATAATTGCAGGTTCACTTAACTGCCAAGACAAAGGAAAATACAGCTTTCCCTGACACTAGTTCAGTTGTTCCAGTATGTGGTCCTCTCATTTGCCTTACATGGATTCCAGGGAACGGTGGACCATATTCCTAAAGTGTTACTAAGCCCACAACAGTAAAATCAGTCTGTATATGCAGTAAAGCATGTTTGTTATACTCACTGTGGAACCTAAGGGGTTAATCATCTGCATTGTGTAAAACTGCTGTTTGTTGTGTATTGCTAGAGAGGTTGTTTTTTCTTCTGTGAAGATTGCATGTGATCAGAACAGGACCAATCAGCACTGTTCAGACAGAAGGTCAAGGGTTTCAGATCCTCCTAGAGCAGAAAGAAAATGCCTCCTACAAGCTTTAACCAGTGCTCTGCTGAAGTCACAAGATTGCTGTAACTGCTGATGAGAAAGTGTATTTAGCAGTTTTATATTTACTAAAATAATTGCATTTCCATGTTCTGTGTACTGTGGGAGACCAGATATAGTGAATGCTTCGGCATATCTAGTGATGTTGTCATTTTAGTCTTAACTGAAGACATGCAGTTCTTGATTTAATTTACAAGGCCAGATAAGCAACCGATCAACAAAATGCACAATAGGCTTGGAAGAAGCCTGGTATATGGGATACAGCATTGTAAACCTCTAATGGCCAAGATTAAAACAAATAAAAGATGCCCAATCCTGTATCAAAGCAAAGGTTAAAGCCTTTGTAGGATACTACAGAAGCTTTGTGCCTAACTTTGCTACAATAGTAGCTCCACTTACTGATCACACCAAAGAAAGGAAGTCCATTATGATGAAATGGAATAAAGAGACAGAGAGTGATTTTCAAGAGCTGAAGGCAGTATTGTGTATAGAACCAGTGCTAAAGGCAAAGTTTTGTTTTTTTCTTCTTCCAAAAAAAGGTTTTATTGAAATATGAAAGGCATAACAAGTCATATACAGATACGGATCGCAGTCCGCGCATGTCCTCTTACATGTTCTCCCGTAACGCAGATGGGACCAAGACATTTAAGTAAATTGTAGATCATCCTGAAACAAAGTCCTACAATAAGGCAGATGCATAATATATAACCATAAAAATAATGATAAATAATGTAATTTAGAGAAGTATGGTGTACACTAGTCCTTGTGTAGGGAGATCTCAAATAACAGGACTGTGAAGTGCAAGACAAAAGTGTCACCTCAAGGCATATATGTCCTATGTTTCCGTATCCGAAAAGTGTAGGTTAGTTTTATAGATAACTGTCACACCTGTACATGTATGAATACTCTGTACCTTATGAAAAATATGATTAGTTAGAATATGAAAAAGGTGTGAAAGAGAGAAAGAAAAGAAAAGAAAGAGAAGAGCGCGGGAATGGAAGAAGAATATGAAAAGTAATATCATAATGGAGTGGGGGGGAGCAAAGAAGACAAATATATAGGAAAGAGGGGAAGGAGAGAAAAAAAAAAGGGGGGGGAGGATGGGGTTTATAATTAAATAAGCGCAACCAAACCAGTCACATCAATAAGCATCGGCCAAGCTGTAACAGATTCTATCTTTAATTAGGGATACAGTTCGGTTAGACTCCATTTATGGAGCTATTCCTGAGGTGAAAGTTCTAAAGGCTTTCCGTGTCTCCAAATCTCTTCTTGCTCATAAGGCAAAGTTAACTTCTATAAAAAATAATACATGCACATATTTTTGCAGGAGAAAAAATATGCATTTATTATTTATTTTCAGAGGAATCTGCAATCATTGCATCCACAATTATTGAATCAAGGTGCAATTCCGGGGCTCCTGTAAAGTCTTCCCCCAGCTTGCTGTCCATACCTCAGTAAGGGCTTTCATTTGGAGAGCTGAAGGAAGTATCAATGAACTGAGATTTAACCAATTACCGCATTCGTATTCCATTGAGAACTGCAAATCCATCTGCTGCAGTGGCAGAAAAGACTTGTAGTTCATTAATTCACAGACCTCTCTGAATGAATGCCGTAACTGTGCAGGACTCCAATTTCAAATGTGACAGCTGCTGCAGGGGAAAAGAACGCCTCCACACTGTCAAAGGGGGGCATTTTGGGTTATGGAACGGTTGTTTAACAACATGGTACGTTATACCCTAAATATGGGTGTTACATTTAATATGTTGCTCAAGGTGAACTTACCACCCCAAGTTCAGTCAAGAAATTCTTTTTACAAACAGGTTCCTCCAATGTTGGCTTGGGAGCAGTCTTGTCCCAGGAAATTAATGAGGAACAACATCCAGTATAGCATACCACAGCCTGAAACTATCCCCTGCAGAGTGGATTGGATAAAGAGAATATCCGATTGCCTCTTGGGGGATCATAAAATAATATTTTTCCCCCTGCTGGAGCAATTTGGACCATACTTTACTGGGGGTTCTTTGCATCCTCTGGACCAATAGAGGAAAGAATTATCTTGATGTAAAGTGGGCAAAAGCCTCATTTAGGTGTTATCTTTTGGGCAGAAGTTAAGAATGATTACAGACCACTTTCCACTACAGAGGATGGTTTTTAACAAAGGGCACAATGCAAGGTTTTCTGGCTCTGCAAGACATTCAATTTTATGTAGACCAGGTACTCAGCAAAGAAATGCTGATTGTCTGTTTGCATCCACTGTATGTTGGCAAAATGTGCTTCTTCCCACAAAGCTGAGCAAAGGGAAGGGTATGTGAGGTACTAGCTGGCAGGATTGTGGATGGCATTTATGTGTCAACTAGATTTCTCACATACACATGGTAAAGGGCTATGATACTGAGGTCAGTAAGCAGCTGGGATGAGGAAGGGGTGTATATTAGTTCTGGACTACCAAAGAGAATATGGTAGGGTATTGTTTATTTAAAAGAAACAGTTGTCCTTTATCCCTTCCCAACCACCCTATAGTAGATATACTGCTACAGCAGGGCGGTACAGGTACGTGATTTTGCATTTCTGGTTAGGGGGCATGCGCCCTACCCTGGTTGCCATTCACTGCCGCGGCTGTCAATCACTGAGTCCCTGCCGGTGATTACTCGCTGGCGCCCGGTGATTGCCGAGGATCTCCGACGAGGAGGAAAACTGTTTTGTTTACTAACAGTTCTCCTCCCTGTCAGCTCAGGCACACTGCTTTGGATGGCTGTGCACAGCACAGCCATCTAAAGCAATGTGCTTAAAGTGAAGCATATAGACACCGCTCCCCCAGTAAAACACTCCCTGCACACAGTTAAGCCTTTGATCTCCCCTCATGTTAACCCCTTCCTGCCCAGTGCCATTAGTACAGTGTCAGTGCTTTTTTTTTTTTTTAGCACTGATCACTGTATTGATGTCATTGGGGATGTCAGTGACACCAAGTCAGTCCCCCCCCCAGTGTCAGAATACCCACTGCAGTCCCGCTATAAGTCGCTGATCTCTGCCATTACTAGCAAAACAAAAAAAATCCCAGTGTATATATACCGCTATTTGTAAACGCTATAACTTTCACGTAAATCAATTAATATACACGTATTGGGATTTGATTTTAGCAAAGACATCTAGCAGAATACATTTTGGCTTACATTTATAACAAAATTAGATTTTTTACATTTTTTTTTACTGAACATGTTTAATACCAAAAAGTCCAAAATATAGTTTTTTATCTCAAAATTGTCTTTTTTTTTTTTTTTTTTTTTTTTAATAGCACAAACAATAACAAAAGCACAATAAAATACCACCAAAAGAAATCTCTATTTGTGGGGAAAAAAAGGACGTAAATTTCATTTGGTGCAGCGTTGCATTACCACGCAATTGTCAGTTAAAATATTGCAAAAAATGGCCTGGTCAGGAAGGGGGGTAAATCCTCGGGAATGGCAAGTGGTTAAGAAGAAGCTACAAAAAAAAAAACCCAGTGCTAACAGCTTTCATCAGAGTGACCACTGAATAGAATTATGGTCACATAATTAGCATTAGAAGGATCCTGGAGCTTACTTTTTGCTCTTCTGTTACTCTTTATTTATCAATACCAGAAAGACTGTTAACATAGCTTTATGATAAGTATAGTATAGGCCTGCTTTCACTGGTTCAAACAAGCATATCTACAGAAAACTGAGTAAATGACATCTGAAAGGAAGAAACAGTGCTGCCTCAGGGCTGCTATTCACATGTTATATAACCATAAAGAACTTTGAATGTCACCTCCATGGCTCATGCACCTAAACAGTGGCAGCAACACAATATATGCAGTGTCTTTGGTGGCTAATAAAAGATTGTGCATTCATTGCAGTTTGCCAACGGCACTTCATATAATAATAACATGTATTGTGCTATAACACTGTGCTTCATTTGTTGGGGTATTGGCTCCAATTGAACATTTAGGACTCAATAATTTGTTGGCACAGTAGCACTGACTATTTGGACAGAGCAAATGACTACAAAACTAGCCAAGCCAAACAAAATCCATCCAGAAATAATATGTGTTGGATAAAATCTGCATTTAAGTTGTTTTAGAAAAATAAACAATGAAATTGAGATTTAAAGCAAAACTTAAGTGAAGATATATATGTCTAATCAAATAATAGAAGTATTTGGAGGTGCTGTGAACATCTAATTGTTTTGTTTTTTTTATCTTTAAATTTGAATCTTAAGGTATAAAATGCAATATAAAAATAAAATACAACAGGAAAATGGCATTTTGTTCTTAAGAGGAACTAAAAGTTTCTAAAGCCTGTAGACTCTGGGTTAGGTTATTACAAAACACAGAGGTTAGTTCACAGCTGCAATTTAGAAACACTTCTTTATCTGTTTAATACAGGGTTTTCTAAATGTTTTTCTGCACAGTCCTATATTTAGAGAAGTCCACAAAATGTTTAACTTGCCATATTACATCAGAAACATTTCAGAAAAATAACCTCTTCTTCATAAATACACTTAAGGGCTGGTGCTGTAAAGTGTATCTAAATCTCCAAATTCTTAAAATTATATTTTTATATTGCAATTTACTAGTCATTGGATGTGATGGATACCTTATTTTGTATACTTTGTTCCTTTGTTTACACCTGTGATTAACACACTTCTATTACTAGAGTGGCTATGCTCACCCCTCCACTACATCTACGGAGGTAGCCATGACTGTCATCCAGGCTACTTTTCTGATTTGGACTACAAACACATCTTGTTCTCTTCATCTCTATAACATGGGGGGGGGGGGGGGGGGGGGCAATGTGTCGTTTTCCATAAGATAGCTAAATATTTGCTGATTTCCAGCCACTAATAAGGAGTTAGTTTACACCTGAGATAATAAAAACAGTGCTACCACTAGCCATCCTGTGAAGCATTAGCATAGGTTGAAGCTGTTTCTGGGGAGGATTCAGAAGTCGCTTGAAAATTTGTACCAATCTCATGTTGTCCCTAACAAAATGATGCGTTCCCATACTGTATATTTTGCCTGTGCTGCAAAATGCATGAGGTCACTTCTGATATGGTGTGAAGTGAAATGAACATTTTTTTTATAAGAACAAAGTTCATTGAATATAATAGATTCATGTTGGACAAAATCTACAGAAGCAACATTTTTTCTGTGATAGGCTTAATTTAGTGCTACAGGATTTAAACTTGATAGAAAGTAAGCCTCCATTCACACGCCTGAGCAGATCAGAATTCTGGCTGATTTTAAACAATTTGTTAGGCGTTTTAGAAGTGTTTTTGCGCATGTATTACACTTCAGGTGCGTGTTTTCTGGGCTGTGAAAGGAGAGGAGAGCAATTCTAGAGGAGGAAAAGAGTCCTTTGAGCACAAACACATACATATTATGTGTTCAGAGGTACTTCCATTGAAATCTATGAAGCCAGCTGAATACTCTTCAAAGAAAAAGCACATGTACTTTATTTGACCATAGAACAACCTAGGGCAACTGAGCATACAAGCATGAAAATTAGAAACATTAGAAAAAATGGAATTCTATATGTTGAGCCTATTCAGGTGTAGGGAAACTTTTACGCCACCCAGTCAGGTAAAAAAAAATCCCTACCAGGGTTTCTCAACCTGGGATACTCTAGAGAAATGATCTCCAAACTGCAACCCAGGGGACCAGATGTGGCCCTTTCCTTGCCTTCATCTGGCCCTTGGGTACTATTTCTCCCACTGACACCAACAATGGGGCATTATCCCTCCACTGAAACCAATGATGGGGCACTATTCCTTTCACTGACACCAAGGATGAAGCATTCCACTCATTGATACCAATGCTGGGGTACTATTCCTCCCAATGAAACCAATTATGGGGCACTATTCCTCCACTGACACCAATGATGGGGCACTATTCCTCCACTGACTCCAATGATGGCGCACTATTCCTTTCACTGACACCAAAGATGAAGCATTCCTTCCACTGACACCAATGATGGGGCACTATTCCTCCACTGACACCAATGATGGGGCACTATTCCTCCACTGACTCCAATGATGGGGCACTATTCCTTTCACTGACACCAAAGATGAAGCATTCCTTCCACTGATACCAATGATGGGGCACTATTCCTCCACTGACACCAATAATGGGGCACTATTCCCTTCACTGACACCAAGGATGAAGCAGTCCACCTACTGATACCAATGACTGGGCACTATTCTTCCCACTGCCACCAATGACTGGGCACATTCCTTCCACTAATACCAATTATGGGGCATTGTTTGCCTTTTCTACTCACAATGACCACAGTCCAGCCCCCTCAAAGACTGAAGGACAATAAACTGGCCCTTTGTTTAAAAAGTTTTGAGACCCCTGCTCTAGAGGTTAATAGGGGTTCCTTGAGCAATGCACAATTTCAGCCTCTCAGATAAGTTCTCACTGACACCATTGATCTTTTTATTTATCTATAAGGGGGTAATTCTTCCCAATGACCACAAGTGTAAGCAGCATTCTTCCCATTCTCCATCACACTAATGTACCATGAGTTGTAGATATAGTAATTTTTAGCAGGGGTTCACTGAGAATGGAAAGTTATTTCAAAGAGTTCCTCTGTGTTGTAAAGGTTGAGAAAGGCTGATCTTTACAAAGCTGTCCCTGCAAAAGAAGAATGTAAATGCTCACCATGTCCTGTAGTGACAAGGAAGTCAGCAAGCGGACACCATTGCGCACTGCCAGGGACACAGCCAGGGACACAGAAGTTCTAGACTCCTGAGGGTATCTGATCTTCTACTTCACTGGAAAATTTATCTTGATCAGAGCAGTGTTTGACCATATGGGCAGCAGGAGAGGTGAGTATTTACACTCTTCATTGGCAAAAACAGCTTTGAGCAGACATGTTTTTTTTACCTGATGTGATCGCTGACGCAGGTAACCAGGTAATCAGCCCTTTATTTTATAACTTCATACACAAAGTCAGAAAAACATTTTCTAGTATTTTCCTTTTTTCTTTTTTTTATTACGGCCAATGTTTTTATGCACATTGCAGTGTCTAGGTTTGTGTTTTAGAGCACTATTCAAGGGCAAAAAACTGCATTCAGAAGGATCTTAATGGAATAATTTAGGCACATATATGTATGTACAGTAACTGTGCCTGTATGCGTGTAAATTTATTCCAGTGACCAGAAAAGATGAATAATCTAACCGATAGAACGAGTTTACATGTATATGCTTCTAAAAGCCATACGCACGTAATTGCCAAAATGAGCGTTGTTATGCTGGATTTTTTGCCAGTTCCTGGCAGAAAGATCCATCTTCGACCGGAATATTTTAATATGACCTTGTGCATGTTTTACCTAAATTCCTTTTTACCTCTAAACTAGATTTTCAACCAAACATAATTAGCACTATATAAACTTGTTTACAGACTTTTTTCTGAATGTGCAAATGTGGTTGAATGAGCGCAACAATCTGCACAGGGAATAAAAGGTCCTTTCAGCAACACAAAGCTCTGGATCTGTAACCTATTAATAATCACTTTGCCAATAATTCCCGCTATTATATGTAATTTATTAGCATCATGATAGATACAGATAACAATTTCACTGACTCATTTCTGAATATGAACCATAAATCTGTTTATCCATTGCGTTTATAGCTGTCTTTATGATTCCTTATCAGTCTAGTTGGATCATCTCTGTATATTGATTGAATGATCGTGTCTTTTATGGCAAGTTCTAGATAAGTCACCTGCAGAGCACAATGGAAGTAGAGTACATGACTTGAACAATAACCAGAAATAATTAATGGTAGCACACTATCTCTTCTTTCTGCTGTTACTGTACAACAGTTAAGCTCAATAATTTAAGACTGGGGTCAGTTCTCCCTCACTTACATTTTATAAAGACATCTGCTGTTAGAGGCATTAAATGACATGACTACTGTGAATTTCTAATTAGACAAAGCAAAGGCAAAATTAAAAACTGACTTAAGTGAGTAGCAAAAAACATTTTCTGCGCAGGAGATAG